CCCCGGGAGGTGCTACTGACTGAAGTATCTTTAGGTCATTCCCAAAGGGGGGGGCACATTAACCTGCTCTTATGCTCATTAGAATTGTAAATGGGCTGTATCATGGATGTCACGCTCATAACTGGGCCTGAACTGCAACAGGGAACTGCTGCTTTTTCTTTCCTAATCCTTACTATCGTCATTTTCCCTCTACTTCTTTTGTATGTTTCAATTGTTTGTCACTCTCTTGTGACCCGCTATTTCCGGGGTGCCTTGGTAGTCGAAGCAGACTTTGTGCTGTTTGAAGCTAGAGAGGTGAGCAGAGTAAGCCTGATTCCCTTTTGTAAGGACTTCTCTGTTGACATCCGCCCCTTTGCACTCATATGACCTAATGCAGTTGCAAGCACCGTAAAAGCTCTACTAAAACTAAACTCTCTCTCTCTCTTTTTCCTGTCCTCACTCTCTCTTTTGTCTGTCCTCTCTCTGTCTTTCTCTCTCACCATGGCAGCGGCATTTAAAATATAGGTGCACTGTTGATATAGATAGCCTGTGTAGATAAGAGGTAATTTAGCTTTTTCTCGAAAATATTTAAAGTCAGAGTTCTTGCAATGAGTGCTTGTCGAATCACCTATTTGCCATTATCACCATAGTCATTTTAACTTCAGAAGAGTCACCAGCATGGCTTTGTCTTTAATATAACTCCATCCATGATTAAGAACTGACAAAATCTTTAGTGGCAGGTGAGTTCTGCTATTTTTGAGTTAATTTGTATTTTAATTGATGGATTATCAGACACTTGGGACAAATAGAAAAATAATATGTGGAAACCTTGTTTACCACTCAACTGTACGGCTTGCGAATAGGTTCTTCGTTGAGATTGTTTTAATTAGTTCTGTGGTTTTTAATTGTTCTGTCTTGACTCTTTCTTTCTCAGGCATCAGTAGGTTTTTCTAGTATTCATCTCAAAGTTTGGTATGTTGCTTCAAAGGAAAGCGTATCTGATTTTGATTGGATTTTCGCTAATTATTGTCTCTTTTTATTTGTAGTGATCTGTTTCTGTCTCTGGTATTTGCATTTTATATTGTATCTGGTATTGGTGTTTTGCATAGTGTCATCTTCGTAACAAGCTTCTAAAATGTGCTGTATATTACATATATATATATATATAATGCATGTATGACAGTAACAGTCTCTCTTGGAATTTGGAGACATATTTTGTGGGTTGTTTTTTTACTGTCATGACCAGGGGCCAGAAAACTGTTCCCATCCTGCAGATTCAGAATTGGTGGTCTAGAAAGTATAACCTTTTGGTCATTATTTGCAGAGGACATGAGTTTGATTCCCAAATTGTGATTGACAAAATCTAAAATTGGAGTACTTCATTCTTTGTGCTGATCTGCTGTGTGTATCCCACTCTGCAGCCCATTTCTAAATTGTCTATATTTTTATTTGGAACGTTAAATAATGACAATTACTGTTCTATTCTATTCTTCACGGATTTCCTATGGTTTTTGTTTCAGCTCTTTTTTGCAAGAAAACACAACTCTGTTGTTTACATATGAGGACAAGTATGTAGATAGCCATGATTACATCGTACCTATTCCAAACATCACGGTGGATGCCAGCAACAACCGTACCTCGTGGGTAGTGCAGATCATCGGGAACAATGGCGGTCATGTGATTGTTGGGGTCAATTCGTCGTCTGTGGAATTTGAGGAGTGAGTTCCGTGGTCATCTTGTAGTTGGTTTATTTTTAGTTTGGAGGGTTATCTTGCATCTTTTTTTTTTCTTTTGCATAGTAAGATTTTCAATGTATTGTTTCGTTGGGGAGTTTTTGTCTATAGACTGAGTGAGTCATGGTCGTAATTCCAAGAGCATGTTTTTGTCTCAGTGTTACAGAATCTTTGCTACTTCTAAGGAGGATTTTGGATGTTGTTTGTAGTGGCTGCTACTCAAATTGTCATTGAAAAATACCAAAGCCTTTACTTTCCACTTTCAGTCTTGGTATGTTTTCCAATGACCCTTTAAAAACATTTGATATTTTAATTTTTTTTTTTCAAGAGAATTTCAGTTCAGGATTACAATGCTGTTGTTGTTAAGTTGTTTTTTTTAATTCCTGGTGAGGAGTGCTTAAGTCCTAATGTTCCAAGCCCATTCTTGATATTGTGGAATATGCTATAAAGGTGATGAAGGTGAATCTTACGTTAACAAAATTATCTATCTTCTTTTGTCACCCGGACAGCATCAAGAAAGCTTATATACGTGTGGATGTGGTCCATAGCTCTGCGCTGGTCATCATCAATGCTGTGATTGGCTGGGTCTACTTTGTGGCATGGTCGGTGTCTTTCTACCCTCAAGTCTACACCAACTGGAAAAGGAAAAGGTTGGCAAAGCTTAGTTACTCTGCATTAATTACCCTTATGCATTAATTACCCTTATGCATTAATTATTTCAGATTGATAGTGACATAGGAATTATAAGCTGGCCCGATAAAGGAATTAGTTGAAAAATAAAGGGTAATAATATAGAATTATTGTGTTCAGTGAAGTAGTCTAAACAAGTAATGAAGCTGCTGATAATGCTTTATATTAGAACCAATATTTGAGACAATAGGAATGATTAAAACTTTGACAGACTTTAGGTGAGTGTCCAGAAAAAACGTACTTTTGTTCTTATGGTCAGTATTGTTTGTGTCTTTAATCAAATATATTTCAGTAAAATTCACGCAGGAATGTGTTTTAAAGTGGATGTTATTATCGATGTGTTTTAAAGCGGATGTTATCGATCCAGTGTTGTTGTTGTTGTTATCGGTGTGTTTTAAAGCGGATGTTATCGATCCAGTGTTGTTGTTGTTGTTATCGGTGTGTTTTAAAGCGGATGTTATCGATCCAGTGTTGTTGTTGTTGTTA